CAGAAGAAACGATTAATAATGCTAGATATGGAGTATGCATTATTGAAATGCCAAAATGGAAAGCCCTGTAGTAAAGAAGTAAGAACTAGTGATTCAACAACTGGATTGTGGAGGCATTTAAGAAGCCACCATGGATACTCTAAAGATGGTGAACCGCCTGTAAGCTTTTTTTTTTTTTTTTTTATTAATATAATATCATTCTATAATTTTTTTTTTTTTTAAGTCTAAAAGCAAAAAACAAATGACTATTACCAAGACACTTGAAGTTTTAACATCAAAGCCGCACAATATAGTTGAACAAGCTATCCGTGACTATGCTATTACTGAACTTATTATAGCCCAAAATTTGCCACTTTCATTTGTTGAAGGTAAAATGTTTAAACGGTTCACAAAAATAATTGATTCTCGATGGACTGTGCCAAGTAAAGAGAAGATTAAGAATCTGATTGATGATGGATTTAAAAGAATTTGTACTGCCCTACGTAATGATTTACACCATGCTAAGACTGTATCATTGACTGCTAACATGTGGACTGCATATTCGCGTAATGGTTATCTGTGCATAACTGTAACATGGATTGATGAAAAATATGAATTAAATAATGCTGTTTTAGCATTTACTCGTATTCAATATCCACATACTGGCGATGTAATTGCAAAAAATATCCAAGATATTCTTAAATTTTGGAATCTTGAAAATAAAGTTTTTTTAATTACAACTGATAGTGGATCGAACATGAAATTAGCATGTAGCAAACTTGGTGTAAAATGGGTCCCTTGCTCAGCTCATATATTAAATTTAATAGTACAAAAGAGACTTTTACCTGCTAAACATCTAATAACCTGCATGAACCGTTTAATTAAATTTTTTACTAAACCCAAACAAGGTGAACGTCTTGAAAAAGTGCAAGCATCAACTCGATTATTCCAAAAGTCAAATAATCAAGAAAAATTTAATGAAGTAAGCTTAAAAAAGAAATATCTACAAATAATATTATATATATATCTTAACATCGTTTATGAATTCAAATAAATATAATTTTTTTTTTAAATTAACTTATCTTTAAAGAAAAATAAATGTAGAGTTTTTTTGCATGCACAAACTGATATTGTTACTCGGTAGAACTTCACCTATAAAGTATGGGCCCGAATGCTTGAACTCAAGCCATATATTGAGATACTTTTAAGTTTGCTTACTGTTCAACCAGAAGCTGATGCAGTTGCTGATGGGAAGCGTCTAAAAGAAATAATGATTACTGAAAGTGAATAGGCTGAGGTTGAAAGTATCGTCAATATTCTAAAACCATTTGATGATGTAACAAATTATATTTCAGGCAGCTCATATCCGACAATGAGTATTATTTACCCAACTATTATTTCTCTTCGAAATGTATTACTAAAACTATTTAAAAATGAAGTTATTAGTGATTTTATTTTAGATAACACTAGTTCAAAAAACTCTCCTACCTTATTTAATGATGAGGCCATATTTAGTGATAAGGATTTATCAGATATGGATGAAGAGCTAGAAGAATTAAAACTCCCATCTAACACTAATAATCTAACTAATCTTATTAAAAAAACCATGGCTAGTTTATTTGAAAAATATTACAAGGTATCTATTAGTTGTCTTATATTCTAGCCACTAATATCAAGATCACAAAATATAAATCGGTTATATACTAGGTTTATTTAAGTAGAAAATTTTTTCTACTTAAACCCATAACACCTGGAATACATATGATCAACTCACTGATAATTACTTCATAGACACCATATTTCACTGACAATTACTTATCGACAAGTTTATTTCACCAACAGTTTATTTCACTGAAGCCCATTTTACAAACAATATAATTCTAGTTAGTATAATTTATAAAAAAAACTTGTCAGTGAAATGAGCTTCAGTGAAATAGACTATTGGTAAAATAAACTTGTCGGTGAATAATTGTTGGTGAAATGTGGTGTCTATGAAATAATTGTCGATGAAAAAATACAGACTCTAATACTCAATGTATAACTATTACTAATTTCTAAATTGTAATTTAAAATTAGCTTTCCAATGATAATTTGTTATTTATTGCAACCTCAATCGATCCAAGATGCAAGAATATTAAACTTAAAGATACTACATTAGATATCTAGAATTATCTTAGAATTAGATATGATCAAGAAACAAGCAATGATACTTTTGAATCGCCATCAAATGAAGCAGTGCTTGATATGTCTCAATCATTTATCTCATCAATTTTTGCAGCTCAACCAAATAAAACACACAGAAATCAAGTTGACTAATACTTTTTGATAGAATCAATTGGACCTTTGAACAATCCATTAAAATGGTAGGCGGATCACAAAAATGCACTTCCAAAAGTTGCAAATATTGCCTGCAAGTATCTTGCAATTTCTGCAACATCGGTGTCTTCTGAATGTATTTTTTCTAAATGTGGGAATATTATGACCAAAAAAAGAACACGATTAGCACCACAACTATTTAGTAAAATTGTTTTTTGTCATGTTAATCAACAAAGGTATAATACGATGTTTCCAGAAATAAAGATGTAAGATTAAATAGACAAGTTCTTTTTGTAGAATTTAAAAATAAAAAATAGAGGTGTGGCGACTTAGTGTAGTGGTCTAGTCATCACCATCTCCAAGTGGCAGGTCTAGAGTTCGAATCCCACGGACGATGATTTTCAAAAATTAGGCTTGTATTTGGTTAATGGCTATACTTATCGGTTAGATCTAATCTGTAACTTCGGTCACACCATCTAGTAATGGGAGCAATGGCGCAATAAATTCGAAAAACTGGCATAACCGAAAACCCATTTGGGAAGTCCTGAGTTAGGAGTAGCAGTGATCTATGATGGTATTACAAGAGGGCTGAATTCGAACCAGGGCCCGAGATTGAAGAACCGAGTGACCAGGTTCTAATGGCAGAGGACACACTAGCCGAACTGCTGGGTTGTTGCACTGAGGAAAAGGACATATGCTCTGAAAATATGTACCAAGAGAAGGGTGTCCTTCAGGCACCTAAAGCCTGGGCAGACCGACCTTTCCGAGTTGCTAGCTAGAAGTAAGAGAGGGACTGATAAAGAATCCGGGTAAGAAGATGGTCTAATTGTGGGTACCAGGGTTGTTGTGAACCTATACAAGGGCGGAAGTAGGTAATAGTCTAACTTG